TTATGACCATCAGGAAAGGTAGTTATTTCATTTGCAAGGGTTTTTAATAGCTCATCTGTTTTGAAATTGGATGACGAAATCGAATTTTCTATTTATAAACTTCACAGTGAGAGGTGGAAATTTGTCACAGTTTCCACTGGGGACAAAAACTAATTAGATCATAATACTTGACCTATTTGTTTCTACAGACTGTTATTATAAAAGTTACTCACATCAAGCAGTAATATTTCTTATCCAGATCTAAATAAATCGTTTTTCGCTTGTTTGTGGCTGAGCTCATCAGTGGTGTGCCTGTATCGCCTAAGCTCATGGTCAGCTAACTCGGCATACTGGTGGTACATTTTATCGATTACAACATTTTCGAATTACACAGTTCGAAGTGAGGATCCAACACGGTTTATTCTGCTAAACATTAGTAGTCTACTACTTCTGATATCATTTAGTGGTTTGTGTCATCAAGCGAAATGAAAACACACAACCTGGAGCGAATACAAAGAAGACATTTAAATTTACAATTTTAACTATGTTGGAGTGAAATAAGCGTAATAAGTGAAATAAAATGTAATTCCATCGTAAGTGTGCCAATTCAATGATACACAGTAAAATAATTTTCAGCCCCATTTTTATTGAGTGTGACAGAAATGTTGTAGTACTAGTTTCGCTAATACAGTAGCCCCGTCTCTAATTATGTCAAAGTCAGCCTTACATATCATGTATTGAAGTATGTGTGTGACTATTTTGATATGATCATAGTAAAAGGAAGCGATATTGTGTTGCTTTGTATTTTATTTGAGAATCCTATATTATATTTATAAATTTAAAGATTCTACATCGGACAAGACTTGAATATTTGTCGTCTTCAGTTACTTAAGCTACTGGGTGAGTATCTAGATAAAAGTGCATGTTATTTGATTCCGGCTTCTTGTTCACTAGATAGTTCAGATCAGTTAATTGAGCTTCTTGCCTGCATCAGTCTCTGTTAGAATATTCCTGATAACTTACTATTGCATAATGAAAAGTTGTTTGTTGTTTTATCATTTTTTTATTACTGAAACACCAGCTTAGCACACTACAGGCACCAACAAATGTATCACACAAAATCTTATAGTTTATGAGAGGGCAGGGATACTGCTCTGACGTTCAGACCTAACCACCTGGCTATCTTAAGGAGCTATCCCTTACCATTTTACCTGAAGGCTGATCTACAAGTTAGCAGAGTGGCGCCAAGAGATACTTTCCCATGGTTTCCAGGGACTGAAACATGTCCGTACACCATTTGATTCTTTTGATTTCTGGAACCCATCTACACAGTAGATTTAGAGTCAGAGTTCTCTAACCCTTCTTAGAAGATATGCGTGTCCACCAGTCCAGTTGTAAGCACCAGACATTCGCATTCCCTCCTTTCACCTTTGTGGAGACCGTTCTCAGTGAGTGGCCGTATAAGGGCATTTTGAGAAGAACACCGAAGTCCAACTGCCGTCGACCGTAACAGATGGCTTTATGACTTACCGAACATACATCTTCCTACAAAATCGCTTACTAGTCAGTTTAACATTTATCTGTTTTCGGCTTTATAAAAACATTTAATTTTGTTTTTGTCTGGGTACGTTGGTAACAAAAACATACACAATATTGAAGTTAATGTGTCATTTTGATATGTACACACATTTTTGGTTTTCTAAGTAAAGTAAACTTGTAAATATGCAAATAATCATTCAAAACGAAGACAGTGTGCTAATACTTTTTTTTTCCTTCAGAATTTCTGTTAAGTGATATTATATTTCATCTTCTGTCATTCTGTTCCTAAAGCACACTGACAACTCAGTACAAGCATGCATTCAACGAATATTGAAAATGATCGTGTTTATAAATTGTTGCCATTTGTGATATGTGTTCAGGAATTTTAAATAATTGAATTGTAGTTAATTTGCATATGTAATTGCATATTTGTACAACAAGTTTGCAACTATTTTTTACTCAAGAAATTAGTCATAGTTTCAGTTAAACCGAAAAGTTGTGCAAAAACACCTAGTGAAATGTATTTTCGTTGATTGTAGAATTATAAAACTTATTTATTAGAGAGCTACTACATAGGTAAGTGGTGTGCTCTCAACTTTTTTAATTCTTCTCGGTTTTCACTGAGTGTCCTAGGCATAGTGTGCTTTGTACTGTTAAAGTACGAAGTATTTATGAGACAGTCTAGAACGGCCGACGGTAGGTGGACGTCAGTCTATTCCCTAAAATTCCTCAGTGTCCCTGCGCGTCTATAGTCTTTGACAGCTAAGTCCCATTCACTGCCTACACGCAGTAGGAGTGTCCCTTACATAGATAAAAGGGTGGACACTGGTGTCTGGAGCTTATAATTGGACTGGTCGACGTGCTTGTCTATCTAGGGTAACTAGAAAACCCGGATTCCAAACCTATGGTATACATAGATTCTGGAATCCGAAAGGATTAAATGATATATAAGCCTTGTGCATCGAAATTCAAATCATAGCCTCAGAGTGAAGCCCGTCAGGACAATCACCAGTTTTTGTCTGGTCATCCAGGCAGTATCCTAGACCTGGGACAAACTACAAAGTTTCGTTTGGCGCATCTGTTGGTTCCCACAACGTTCGAAGGTTTTGTTTTAATGATAAATAATGAGTTTTTGCTGTAACGAAAGGAGCGTGTCTGAGTTTATACTATCTGGAAAACCATTGATAGCATCTGAAAAGTTCATGTATCCGTGTTGTTATTTGAATGATTTTCGGGATTTTTAAGACAGAGTGTAACACCTCGACCTCTTTTTTTACCTCCTACAAATTTGCAGTGTTGGTTAGAATATCAAATATAAGATTTACAATGCTTTTCCATTAATGTAAAATAACGGATATCCGTGGTAAAATTTTTTCATTGCTCTGTGTGTTTGTTCATCACTTCTAGATTACAGTTGATTTTATTCAATAAGGGAACTGTTTCGCCGACTTGACGACTTTATGAAATTCATTCAGACAAGTATAAAAGTTAATGAGAACTGACACTGCTTTGATATCAAGACTGATATTTCTTTGATGTTTACTTAGCTTTCTCCCTTTGTTTTACCATATTTTGTCCTTCAGAACGTTTTAACCTTTTGGGGAATGGAAGTGTTGTCTCACATTTCAATATACTGTCGCCTCCTAGCCAGTATTAATATTCTCAACTGATGGGTGCAATCCTATCGTGGTTATTGGGCTGGCATACCAGACCTATCCTGGGAAGAAATAAACCAGTGTAAAATCAGATTGGCTTTAGGATAGGATGGGAGTTTATTGACTATTTTTTCACTCAGAGAAATTCCGAAACATAGGTATGCTTATCAATATCCACTGCTTGCCATATTTCTTGATCTGGCAATGTTTTGCCGTGAAAGTGTCTATAGAATATATCACACTAATCAAAGTATTATATTTGAACTCAGTCAGCCGCGTTAGAGCTTATGGGTAGTTTTTATCTGAAATGATGTCATACTCCCCAACTTTAGCAGATGATATCGCCCTTCTAGGTGAAGACACTGAGAAGATTTAGTGTCTTCTGAATGCCTTGAACAGAAATCTTGTTATGTTTGACATGTCTCTGTGAAATGCTGGAGGATGCTGCAGGACTGATATGCATCTACTTCTAGTTTAATGATAGGGATTAAAGTCAGTTCGTAGTGTTCTCTGAGCTGGTTGGTTTAGTTGCGGAGCTTTCGTTGAATTTTCATTGAACTTCGTGACCACTTTCATTATTTAGGAAGTTGTATCAATTCTAATGAACTGGTCGCTAACGAAATCTCAATATCGATAAAATTGCCTGTCGAGTATTCATTGATTTACTTCATCTCTGGCGTAGATATGGTATCCTGTTATCGATTAAAAAGGACACCTATTTGCCCTGTTATTCTGCTTTACGGTCGTGAGATATGACTGCCGAAAGTGAAGTTGTGAAGCTGTATATCACTTCAAATGGCTTGAACACATATGATGCATACAAAACCTGGCATCACTTGATGGAATCTCTAACAGTTGGTTTGAAACACGTAGATACATGTAAACTGTCTAGTCCGCCTCCTCGAGATTTTAAGAACCAATGGCTGGAGACTCCTGGTGATATGGCTCAAAATCTTTATCAGTGAGGAGAATGCATTCACTCTTTATAGTGTTCTAGATCGATTAAGTCTTCTTTTTTTCTATTTTGCATTTGTGTATAACAGGTCTACTTTAAAACTTGGCCACTTTTGGAAAAGTTATGACGCAGAATATACAGGCTTTTTGCAATACTTAAACTCGATCATACATATCCCACTCATTTCAGTGATTTAGATAGTAGACCAATACATTTGTTCAATAAATGGAGAACGAAATTCGCCAATGAATCCTAATAAGGCCTTTGCACTAACAACTGTCAGCTTTACAGTTTTTTACAGGATTTCATCATGAGCTGACAGTGGTTAGAGAACCACCGGAAAACCTGGGAGTACTGGACAGCTGTTTCGTCCTAGTTTGAGATTCTTCATCAGTACGCACCCACCGAGGTTCGAACCCAGGACCTTCTGGTTACAAGGCGACCTCGTATACCATTAAGCCACTGGGACCCGGTCGAATGACCAGCCCATGAATTCCAACTTCTGCCAATTCATGACATAGTGCGACTCCTAGCCAATGTTTTCGGCAAGCATTTCTCCTCACACCCGACCTGCTGCACCCTACTGGTCAAGACTTGTCACTAGAACCCCAGGTTTTCCAATGGTCCTCTAATCAATGTCAGTTCATTATGAAAACCCGTAACCAACCAAATCCCTACAAACCAACACTTAAATATTTACAGTTCTTTATTTAACCACCGAAGATGTTTGATAATTGTTATTGTTCTTCTTTTTTTCAGCTGAAAGTAGTTTTCTACGCAACTGACTGGCCATTTCAGTGGACAATCCTTTCTCTCACCATCTGTCCGCCAGAGCTTTCAGCTGTTATTAACATCTTTTTTTCATAACACTCATGGTAACACCTGTTGGTAAATATACTCGTAACAATTCATGTGATAGCAGCCTTGACAATGATGACGACGATGATGATAATAATGAAGATGAACTCAGTTTAAGCTCTGAAGATGATCAAAAGTCGAATAATGTATTAGATAAAAAGAATAATACGCAATCAATATGGTTTCGTGCTCAAAAACGACTTGTAGGTCGTGTCATGCGAAATGGACAATCAATTAAATCTATCATTGGTAATCGAGCTTACAAGGCATTAACTGCTTTATATGCTTTGATGAAATTATATATTAAACCTGAAAGTGAAGTGAAACAATTATACAAGTCATTAGTTAAAACAATTGGCAAAATTGGAGTTATCTCACAACAACGTAGTTTATCTGAAGAAGATTATACAAATATACATGAGATTAAAGAGAAAAGTCGTACAATTGGTTTAACACTGATAAGTTTTGCTCAAACAGATTATACTTATAATTATGCTTTTCTTAAAGAACAATTAGATGGCTGTAAAGATAGTATTTGTCAAGCTGTAACACCATATCTAAGTCAAAAGTCTATTGAACGGATTAAATACTTTTTCAATGTACTTAGTTCAAATGATTTTTTAGACGCTGTATACAATCAATCAGCGAATGAATCTCAAAAAGCTGAATTACGTAATTTAGTGAATCATTTAAATCTTTTAATTAGTCAAATGAAGTAAATTTTAAAAAATGGGTTAGTCTCTTCCTTGTTTTGATGATCTCAGAGAATAAAAGGTACACACAGTGACACCTGTGTATGACGTATTATATTATAGGATATAACACATATTGTATCTAGGATTTGTTGGTTTTCTTTTTTATTCCTACATACATTCATTCTACTACGAGACGTGTTGATTTCTGAATCATCATTAACTGTAATTATTTTGTTCACAGATTGAATAAGACAATTGTCAATTATCACTTTTGTAATTTTGTAAAAATAAAAAAGTGATAACAGTTAACTTTTGATTGTTACTGCTATCTTCTTTCATTCTGGTAGCTATATATAGATGGCTTGCTTTTCTGTGTGTGTGTGTGTGTGCATGGCACTACTTCGACTGGACGTTTTATATTTTCAAAAATAAATGATTGAAACGAATATCTTTGTTGTTTATTATTGTTATTATTGCGGGTCGAAATAGCTTGGGTTGGGGGTGTGTGGGGTGGTTAACGTCTGTGACTGCAGCACGGCTTCGAATCTCAGAAGGGTTATGTGTTCCTTCAGGGTTGCAGATACGTCTTGCTGGTTAGTAGATGTTAAAATGTAGGAAGCATAGGTTCAAAGCTTCACTCCAATGGCCTCCAACTGTCTAACATAAATAATTCACATTGCTGTTTTCGGCGAATTCATTCACTTAGCTGCACAATCGCATTTATATATAATTATTTTGTGTATACAAGTATTGGTTTGTAGGGATTTGGTTGATTGGTTACAGCATTTCATCATGAGCTGACATTGGTTAGAGAACCATTGGAAAACCTGGGAGTACTGGACAGCTTTTTCGTCCCATTTTGTGACTCTTCAGCAGTACGTACCCACCGGGGTTCGAACCCAGGACCTTCTCGTTACAAGGCAAGCTCGTATACCATTAAACCGTAACCGTGTATATGTGACATTAGGATTGTTAGACAAAAATAAAAACCATTCAGGGTTACTGTTCGCGTCATCAAAATGTTTCTCAAATGTGATGAATAGTCAAAATTATAACAAGGGGGGGTTGAAGATTGTTAAGTATTGATAAGGGTTGAGTAATAGGAAATAGTATGTTAATGGAGACACGTGTCCCAAAAATAGATTATGTAATAGGTGGAAAGAGTAAATAAAGGGTTGCTTTAGAAGAAGATATTACTAAGATGTCATACGAAAAAAGGAAAACAAAACATCATTAACAAAGTCGTAGAACTTGGAATTATACTCAGGGTATAAGGAGGGAGTGGAGAAGTTTCTTCTGTGTGCCTAAATCAAAGTTTCCTATACAGATCGCTAAGGCCTCGGCGATGCAAAGTATACGAAAGCTTACTGTTTTCGGCAGGCTTATTGTGACTTTGTAGATGACTTAGTAAAAATTAACCCCTGTGGTTAGAATTTTGATTATACCTCACATTTTAGAAACATTTTAATGACGTAAACAGTAACTCTAACTGATTTTTATTTTATTTTTGTCTGACAATCCTAATGTACACATTTACACAAAATAATTATACATAAAAGCGATTTTGCAGGTAAGTGAATGAACTCGCCGAAAAGAGACTCTCCGCTGAACTTTGTTGTTCTTATATTCATGTCTGAGTGGATATTTTCCGTAAACTCACAGTGTATTGTCATGGCGAGCTATCCAACATAGCGGTCTCATTGCGCGCACTTGACTGATGGATTAGTTCAGCCTGCACCAGACAAAGAACTAGACATATTACACTACTTACTAATTAGTGTTCCATGAGAGTGTGGTTACTGTTTGTTGAGTGGATGTAGTGTAGGTTTTCTTACACGCCGGCATTCATTAACATGGCATTTCTGTAACGTTCATAAAAATTACAGACTATGCTTTTAAGTATTCGTTATTCGTTAGGTATTCGTTATTCACTGACTGGCAAAATAAAGCAGTCAACTATACTACTGTTTAATTATCCTTTGAGGTTTATTCAACAATTGATTTCACAAAGGGAATTAAAACAAAAAATATGGATAAGTAGCTGTGAAAGGAGACTAAAATGCTAACTATGCCGTCTTATATCGCAAAGCTATACAGTTGCTTGATGTTAAACAATCCGAATAATCGATTGTTAATAGTTATGAAAAAAAAAGTACTGATACTAGCGAGATAGATTGCTTAAAAGGAGACAGTCATCGATTGTCGCCTTTATAATTTCACAGTTACTTCTTAGATGGATGCCTATGGTAAGTATTTTGTCTCCTTCATTACTACTCACATCTATTCTTGTTCGAGAAATCATTTACTTTTATTTGGAATGTGGTAAGCGACTAACCTATATTCGAAAACAACTATGCCAAACTGCCATCCAAGGAAGACAATGTCATACATTCATTCCCCTTAATGAACGTTTTAAATAAGTTCATGGTGTCATTTAATGTAACCTCCTTGTTCACAATGATTCCAATCAACGAAACTATTGAGATCATTTGTCAGCAGTCTGATCTCCTCCCACTCCCAGAGTCGGAATTCAAATGCCTACTGCTTATGTGTACCATGGATGTGCGATTCTAATTTGGCAACACATTTTTTACCGCTAAATAGGTGGTGTAGCTATGAGCAGTCTACTTAACTCTGTTTTAGCAGATATATTCATGTCCAACCTTGAAAGAACAAAGTTGAAGCATGCAATCGACGAAGCAACTTCCTACTGTCGATATGTTGATGACACATTTATAGTGTGCAGCAATGAAAGTCATGCTTCCTACCTACTCAGATTATTCAATGATGCGTACATCAATATTGTGTTTACTATGGAACATGGAAGTGACGGAAAGTTTCACTTCCTCAAAATTGCCATGGAACGCCTAGAAGACGGTAGTCTTCAAAAGTCAATTTATCGAAGCATACATGGAAAGGACAATACTTTATTTTAATAGCTTTTGTCCAAATAGCTTTAAACGCGGACTGGTCAAGACTCTGTGATATAGAGTGAGGAGAATATGCTCTATAGAGAAATCAGACGAAGAATTTGAGTTTCTTGAAAAGATATTGGAGAGCAATGGGTACCCTCAAAGGTTCATCAACAAATATGGAAGATCTGAAGTCACAAATGTAAAACAAATCACAGTGGGTAAAAAGCTAATCTACATTCAGCTTGATTATAAAGGTGAAAACATTGCAGCAATGATCAACAAAAGGCTGAGTACATCACTAGCCATAGCCTTTCCAGTAGCTAAGCTCGTCCCCGTCTGCTGAACAACTTGCTCTTTAGTGCAATCAAAAATCAATAGATATTCTTCTTATGTTAACTCTAACTGTATATACGAATTTACATGTATCTGCGGGAGCAGTTACATTGGAAGGACAGAAAAAGGGCATATCTACGATTTTCTGAACATGTACCAAAAAGCTAATGTCTAAAGGGAACAAATGCTTTAAGCATTGCCATCGCCAGGCATCTCCTCGACACGGGTCATGAGGTGGACGTCGAAAAGTCGTTCAAAATTTTCAATAGGCAAAAGAGCTCAATTCTCCTCAAGTTTGCTGAAGCCATTTCCATCACGCGCCTGAAACCTGATTTGTGCGTCCCGAAAGACGCGGTTATCAGTGTTTCTTTGCCCTAGTAACTGGATGTTTTCATCTCTCTTTCATCTGAATGCGAAATGCTGAAAGGTGTCCATTGTGTATGATTATTATTGTTGAGAATAGTGTTTAATGTTACATATATATATATATGTTATTGCTGTGTGCATATATTGATCGATTGATTTTTGTTTGAAATGAACTCTGTGCAAGTATGTTAAAATTGTTTTTGTAGATATATTTAATAATGTCTTTGACCTGTAAGCAGCTGACGAGAAGGTAACGAAATAAAAGGTGGTACAGATTTATTCTGCTAAGGCAGAAGACAATGTCATTCACTTAGTAAAACTTCTCTTATAGAAGGCTGCATATACGAAGTTTTTAAGCTGTTAGGGTGGCAGCCATGAACATAACAGTAAGGTTCGGATAAACAGTAGAAAACCCAAGGCGCCAGCTCTCGGTACTTCAATCTAATCATCTCACTTCGCCTAGTATTTATTTGGTAGCAAATATATTGGGGTGTAAATCGTTATCTGTCAGCTGATTCTGTCAGGTGCATAATATGGCATCCCAAGAGGTTCTACCACACTACAACGGCTGGAAGCTGGTCGCATTCATGATGTTTACAGACGCTATTATTCATCAATAAGGCGTCGATGGTTCAGCCGCAGAATACCTGTCAACCGCACACGTGATACAGGCTTCGAACCCTAAATGACGCACTTCTATACCTCTCTTAGCGTGTAGTAAGCCGAATAAAGAGAGAAGATGGGGCATTAGGCAAGCAACCTCAACTCCACAGAAAATGCCTCAGTTACTAAAAATTCAAACATCACGCTTGAATCTCTGTGTTCCATTTCAGTTTGCCGAACCCTAATCTGTTCAAGTGAAAAATCTAAATCTTCGTATGCAGAAAGCAATATAGTCATTTTGAAGCTAACTTAACCCTACACCATTCACCTTCATATCCTTCATTCCTTTTCTTCAATTTTGCTATTAATGCTGTTTTCTGTTCCCCATCATTCTCACAGTTTAGTACCAGCATTTTTAAAGCTGTTTTAAGCGATTCCCTGAATTTTACTGAGTGACTTTAAAAACTTCTTAGCATGTTCTTCTTTGGATTGTGTATTCCAGGGTGATATCATTTTTTTTAGCGTCTGTGTATTCATATTTCTTATTATTTCAAACGCATTAACTCTATATTCTGCATGCTGATATAGATTTTATTGAATTAACCGATTCTTCATGACTGTGTTTTCAATTTATCACTCCTTAACAACTGTCATTTTCTCATACTTGTTTAATGTTTAAAGTTGTCATTATGTCCATGTTATGTATATGTTAGCCTTTTGATTTGATATTTGTATAATCATGTATTTACAGTATTTAGCTGACTAGTTTGAGCGACATTTATGAATTCATTAAATAATATCAATGAA